CTAGTTCCTTTTTGCTTAAAAATTCTTTCTTCGAGGTACGTCTTCTCTTTGCTCACATCGTACTATAGTAGCAAGGACAAAACAGACCACGCCTCCAACACTTTGCTTAGAGATGTCCACAGAGCGCAATTCAGCCAAATTAGCTGCCATCTTGTGGAAAGTTTCGCCTTCTCTCCAGTTGCCAGTTGTTTGGATTTTTTTTTTTTTTTTTTTTTTTTTTGGCCATGGCCAAGTTTGAACCCTCCGCCTCCAGCATATGGGTCTGGCGTCCTATGCCTTGAGCCACAGGCTCTGCCCTTTTCTCCCGTTTCCAACAGTATGTTCCTCATTTCCATCACAAGCCTCACTGGAAGCACCTTTAGCTTTCCTGTTTCTGGCAGTGTTCTGTTCTATCTGTTCTCTGAGATGACAGGTGCTTTCCCTCTCATCTTTTCTTTCTGAGCCTCCACCAGAAGCTCCTTGAATATCTGTGTTTCTCCTAATAGTCTCTTCAAGGCAGTCCAGGCCTTTTCTGTCTTGCCTCTCAAAACTCTTCCCCTTACTTGATTCCAAAGCCACTTCTCCATTTTGAGCTCTTTGTCCCAGTATCATTCCATTTCCTAGTAGCAAAATCTGTGTTAGTTTCCTAGAAATGCCATAACAAAGTACCACCAATTGGATGGCTTACGCAACATTAATTTGTTCTTTCTGAAGGCTAAGTCTGTTGGCAGCCTTGGTTCTTTCTGAGGGATGTAGGGGAAATCTGTCCTATGACTTTTTTTTAGTATCTGGTGAATATTTGGCAATCTTTGACTTTCTTTGACTTGTGGATGCATCACCCTCATTTCTGCCTTCATCACCACATTCTTCTTTCTGTGTTTCATCAAGTAGGCTTCTCTCTGTTTGAGGCTGCTGCCAAATTGCCCCATTTTTTGGTGAAAACACTAGTTGTGTTGGCTTGGGGCCCACTCTAATCTTATTTTATCATGCTTATCTATGTGAAGATCATGTTTCCAAATAAGATCACCTTCTGAGGTACTGGGGGTTGGGGATTTCAATATATTCTTTTGAAAGGATACCATTCAACTTATAACATGCATTAATAAATTATAAGCATCTTTATGCTGTAAGTCAAGTTTTTCAAGCACAGGTTAATATTATTTCTGGTTAAATAAAATGTAGACTGGGTTGGTATTTTCTTTTTTTTTTTTTTTTTTTTAGACAGAGTCTCATTTTGTTGCCTTTGGTAGAGTGCTATGGCATCATAGCTCACAGCAACCTCAAACTCTTGGGCTCAAGGAGCCTCTTGCCTCAGCCTCCTGAGTAGCTGGAGGTGCCCACCACAATGCCCAGCTATTTTTAGAGATAGGATCTCACTCTTGCTGAGGCTGATCTTGAACTCCTGAGCTCAGGCAATCTACCTGCCTTGGCCTCCCAGAGTACGAGGATTACAGGTCTGAGTCACCATGCCTGGCCTGGGTTGGCATATTTATTTATTATCTACCCCAATTCATCCTGCTATATGTCACATATTCTTTCTCATCATGGAGTTCCTGAACTGGAATGAAAAACAAATTACTTTATTTCTATTAACCTCTAACTGAAAGCTAGCATTCCTTTCTAATATGGGTATTGGGAACAAACCACTATAATGTTAACAGGACTTGAAATTTTATTACACAGAACTTTTCATGTCACATATTACAGACCTTTTCCTCTCACACAACAGTTCCTTGTAGCAAACTCATCAGTAAATATTATTCATGGTCCTCACTGCCTCAAATTTATGAATTATTACAATTTTTACTAGATCTTAAATACTACAAAGGAAATTTTAAAAGATAATATGTTCATATATAGGCACATATATTACTGCATGCAATAATTTGAATAGGTATATAATTTTTTTTTAGAGTGTCATTTTGTCCCCTGGGCTAGAATGCATTGGCATTATAATTGCTCACTGTAACCTCAAAATCCTGGGCTTAGACAATCCTCTTGCCTCAGCCTCCCAAGTAGCTGGGACTACAAGTGCACACCACTGTGAACAGCTAATTTATCTTTTTGTTTTGTTTTTTGAGATGAGAGTCTTGCTATATTGCTCAGGTCATCTGATCTCAAACTCCTGCCCTCAAGTGATCCTCTTGCCACTTTCAGCCTCCCAAAGTGCTAAGATTACAGACACCATGCCCAGCCTAATTCTTTAAAAAGATAGAATTTTTAAAGAAGACTTTGGTTAATTTCAGTATGATTTGTTTATTTTGCAAGTTTATATATTTTAGTTTACTCTTTTAAAATTTTTATCCAAGAAGGGTCTGTAGGATTCATTAAATTCTCAGACAATTCATTATACACACACACACACAAATTCAGAAACATTATTCTAGATGTTGGAGGTAAAAGTAGTGAACAATTCAGATAAGATCCCTCCTTCCAAGAAACTTACCTTGGGGGATGAGGAAAGAGGGAGGTAAAAAACAGTTAACAAAGAAATAATCTGCAGAATTGCAGGCGGTCATGAGAACTGCATACATAAGTTACATATAATCACGCACACACATAAAAGTTGCCAAGAAATGTATATACATTTTAAAAAAGGAGAAAACAGTATTAAATTTGTAATACTCAAGTCACATTTGACTTTTATAATTACAAGAGGTGCTCAACATGACTTGTATTCATCTTTTGTTATCACTATACATTATTATAATTTTAATCCTTTTTTTCTTAAGGTCTATATACATTTTTTGGCACACCCTGTGTATTATATGTGTAAAGTATATGAAATGTGATTAGAAGTAGGTAACTACAAGGAACTAGATGTGGAACAGACATGGTCAATAGCCCCTGGCAAAGAGAACAGCCAGTGTAAGGTTCTCAGGTGGGGTACCTCAGTGTGGTCACCAAGTAGCCAGAGGCTAGGTGGCTGAAGTGGCATGGGAGGAAAAGGTGGATCATGTTAAATGAGTAGTGTAGGAGAAAGAAGAGAAACCACATGGTGTTGGCTTGGGTAATAAATTTCTATTTTATTCTAATGACGTCATACATCCATTGGAGATTATTTTTTAACTGTAGTAAAATGCACATAATGTAAAATTTGCCATCTTAACCATTTTTAAGTGTACAGTTCAGTGGCAATAAGGTCATTCACATTGCTGTTGTGTAACTCATCAACACTATTCATCCACAAAACTCTTTTGGTCTTGTGAAACTAAAGTTCTGTACACATTAAATGATAACCCCCATTGCCGCCTTTCCCCAGCATTGGAGATTTTTTAGTGGGATAGTGAGAAGCTGTGTTTTACATTTTTAAAATATGACTCCATTTTTTTTTTGAGACAGAGTCTCACTTTGTCACCCTTGGTTGATTGCTGTAGTATTACAGCTCACAGAAACATCAAACTCTTGGGCTTAAGTGATTCTCTTGCCTCAGCCTCCTAAATAGCTGGGACTATAGGCACCTGCCACAATACCTGCCTATTTTGTTGTTGTAGTTGTCATTGTTGTTTAGCAGGCCTGGGCTGGGTTCAAACCCACCAGCTCTGGTATATGCGGCCGGCACCCTAACCATTGAGCTATGGGCGCTGAGCCTGACTCCATTTTTTTAAAATGAAAAAAATGTTGCTGATTATGACAACAGGAAACCAGTTAGGAAACACTGCAGGTGAGAGACAATAGTAGATGAACTGTGAGGTTATCAGAAGATGGGTTTGAAAGGGACTTGGGCAGTAAATCAGACAGGATTTGGTGATGCACTGGAACAGGTATGGAGTGGGGACTTGGGTTCTCTTTCAGACAAGCTAAGTCTGAGTTGACTCCTTGACATCCAAGTGGTAGATGTCTAATACTTACTTGTACAAGTCAAAAGCTCAGGGAAAAGGCCAGCATACATTTGGCAGCCATGGACAAGTAGACAGTATTTATAGAACTGGATGAGATAATCCTGGATGATAATATAGATAAAGGAGAGGCCCAGGAATAATCCCTGGGGGTGCTGCCATTATTTAGAGGTCAAATCAAAATGAAGAGGACTTTATGAATGTTTTCGAGAAACTAACTTAAGGATCCTAGTGCTGCAGGAACTTGGATTTGTGCTCACACAAAGAGGTGAAGCTATCAGTTGAGAGTCCCATCGTACTGGTTTTAGCCAGGTCAAGACTGGGTCTGGCTCTGAGAGGGGGCAATCTCACCTTCTAACTTAGGTTTATACCTGGGACATGTAAGATGGGATGGAAGACAAAAGGCAGGATCTAGGAGAAATTGTTAACAATTTGAAAGCAGTCAACACTGTGTGTATTTAGAAACACATTATATAACTAAAGAAGAGGTAAATATTTCATTATAGAAAAAATCTTTGTCTTTCGTCTTTTATAAATTAATGGTGCTAAACACTCATTGTAATCTATTATATCATATTATATACATATAATATCTTAATAACTCTTTGATTGATCCATCATGTGAGGTTTAAGAAGTAGCCCCAAAACAAGTTTGAAAAATTATGTCATTTTTTCTGTTTAATTTTTGTGTGTGTGTAGGGGAGGGTGTTCAATGAAAACATATCCAAGTGTTCTTAATTTAACTGATCTTTAAGCCCCTAATAGTTTGTCATCCCTAAATGTATTTTTTTAAAAATCAATTTTACAACACAGGGTATAAAATATAACTGGAGAAAGTCATTCTGTTCTTCTTAGCTGATCCCCAGAGCCTGACCTCTTGGCTGGAATTCTAATGAATGAATTACGGAAATATGGAATGTCATTGGACTTGACCTTTGAAGATTGTAGTGGTTTACGGTTTGCTAACTATTCAGGTTATTCCCTTTGTTCCAGAAAAGTGCTCTGTTGTTTGCAAGCGTTCCTCTTTGCCATTTGCAGCCATTTGGGAAATGGAAATAGGAAGCAGTATCTTCTTAGAAAAACTCTAGATGAATGGAACAGGAACTGCAAATTTTGCAAAATGTAAGAGGAACTGTTGATCTTGTACATTATAGCTTTGCCTTATTTGTTCTCCTTTGCCAGGCGGCCTGTTCTGATGATGTGTGTCATACTCACCACATTGCCCAGCTTCACCTTTTCGGTGGCAGTGACCGAGGTATGGAATTTTGATTTCTTCTGCTGCCAGATTTTGAATCTTTTTTTTTTTTTAAATAAAATATCCTGTTACTGGCATTTGATAGAGCAATGGGCCCAACAAATGTCTTAAGCTTTACTTAAATGCAGTCTTCTTCCAGATTGCAATCTATGTATTTAAAGTACTAAAGTCATTGATTGTTACCTCTGCGATTATGGAGGAAAATTCAGCAGCCAATTTTTTTTTTTTTATGTGAGACAGAATTGTTATTCTGAACTAATAAAAAAGTAAGGAATTTGAAAGTCCATCTGCAATCCGTTTCTCTTACCAACCTGATGTTTGTCATGATCATCTGGTTCTGAATGAATGACAAAGTCCAAGGGAAAAACCACTTACATTGACCTTGGATAAGTTATCCATTGATAAATAATTTGCACATGCTATTTATTTGAAAAGAGCTTTGAGTTTATGTTTTGGTTAAATACAGCTTCAAAAGGACTTGGATGGTCCTCTTTAGGGCAGGAATATTATAGGCAGAACTTTCAGGGTATGAGAACTTTATTATCTGGGAAAGTCATAGGAGAATGCCTACTAATCTTATTAATTAGCAAGGTGCTGTGAAAGATATAAATTTTGAATCCCCAAAGCACACAACTGAAATTACTTTGTGATATTTTGTTTATTAATTGGATAGATACTCACTAAGTGCATATTACGGGCAAGGTACTGTTAGATACCAGAAGTAGAGCACTCAGGAATTATGTGTGGCAGAGACTCTGGCCTTCAGTAATTATTTACCGACAGTGGAGAGAAAAATAAACAGGAGATTAGAACAAGTATCATAAGTTGTGAGAGGTGAGTACCAAGTAATGTTTGATATTAGAAATTCCATGCTTGTTAGAATATGTCCTAGACACTCTATTTGAACATTATATGAACGCGTAAAATAACAATGGAAGACCATGCAGATGTGTTTTGCATCAGATAAATGTTTCAGTCTACATTTGTCATTTCTACCCCCGTTTCACCACAAAGACATCATAAATCACTTGGGAGATCCCCAAGAACTGTAAAAATTCAGTTTACAACCTTTCAAGGAGCATCATGGTTATAAAAGGACAGTGTGTGGGTTCGATGGCCCTTTCTAGTTCTTTTTAAAGATATTTCATCTCCTTTAGAACATGTGGGGAAAGGCAATGTCTGGACAAAAAAAGATATTTCATCTCTTGTTACCTATTTTCTTTCTTTCTCTCTCTCTCTGTTCTATCTCTCTCTCTCTCTTTCTTCCTTTTTTTTTTTTCAAACAGAGTTGCACTCTGTCAACTTGGGTGGAGTGCTGTGGCATCATCATAGTTCACAGCAACCTCAAACTCCTGGGCTCAAGAGAGCTTCTTGCCTTACTTTTTCTATTTTTAGTGGAGATGGGGTCTTGCTTTTGCTTAGGCTGGTCTCAAAAACCTGAGCTTAAGCAATCCACCCACCTTGGCTTCCCAGTGTCAGAAGATTATAGGCGTGAACCACTTCACCCCGCCTTGTGCTCTCACTTGCTCGCTCTCTCTCTTTTTTGACAGATTCTTATTCCGTCACCCAGGCTAGAATGCAGTGGAGTCATCATAGCCATCATAGCTCATAGCAACCCCAAAGTCCTGGACTAGGTGATGGTCCTGCTTCAGCCTCCCGCATAGCTGGGACTACAGGTGCCCACCACCAGGCCTGGCTAATTCTTCATTTTTAGTATAGTTTCACTCTTCCTCAGGCAGGTCTCAAACTCCTGACCTCAAGCAATTCTCTGACCTTGGCTCCCTGATTGCTAAGATTACAGATGTGACCTACCGTGCCTGGCCCTTTTTCTTTTTTTTATTATTTAATTTTCACAGAAGTCTAACACACAAACAGAGAAGCACACAAAATGTAAATGTACCATTCCAATAGAGCACCACAAAGCAAATCCCTGTGTAAATACTGGTCAGGACCAGAAGTTAAACTCAGCCAGCTCCAAGCCCTTGCTTCTGGTGATGACTGTCTTTCTCTCCTCTCCAGAGCTAATTTCTACCTCAAATTCTGATAGGACAGATTAGTTGGCCTGTTTTTGAAATATTCACAAGTTTTATTCAAAACTATGGCTGTGAGAGTCATTTGTGTTTTAGGATATAACCATAACTCATTCATTTTTATTGCTGTAAAATATTTCATTTTATGAAGATATCACAGTTAAAAAAAAAAAAGTAACAGTTCTATTCCTGGTGGTTGTTTAGGTTGTTTGCAGTTTTGGCAATTACATATGTTACTTGAATGTGTGTATCTCTTGGTGTGCGTGTGCAAATGTTTCAGTAGGTTAAATACACAGGAATAGAACGGATACGTCATATGATATTCAAATTTAAATTGTAACAGGTAAGATCACACAGTTTTCCATGAAGCATATACTGAGTTTTATAGCTCTTATATAGAGTTCACTAGCAGAGAATGAGCATTCCCGTTGCTCTATTTCCTAACCAGAACTTGCATGGTATGTCTTTTTGTTCCAGCTATGTTGCTGGGTGCATTTCCAAATCTCATTGATGTTTTAAATTGCATTCTCCAATATTTAATGATGTTAGGCATCTTTTCATTTTGCCCATTTTTTTAACGTTTTTGCTCATTTCTTAAACATTTGGAAGAGTTACTTATATATTCAGAGTCCTGGTCCTCTGCTGATTGTATGTATTCACGCTCCTTGACTTTCTTTCATACTTTTAATGGTATCTCTTCATGAAAAGAAGTTCTTAATTTAAAAAGTCTAATTTATCAGTTTCTTTTCTTTTCCTGACCATGTTTCTGTGATTGAGACAATTTTTTCATCTTGTGAATCTGAACCTCAGAGTCCTAATCATTTTCCCCTAATTATACTTTGGAGGCTATATTGTTTCTTCATTGTTTCTTCATTTTCTTTTAAAGTCAAAATCCATTTGGAATTGCTTTTTATATATGTTGTGCAATAAAGGAGGGATCAAACTTCTTTTTCAGATAATATCCAATGGATTGAGCATTATTTTAAAAATAAATCTCTCCTTCTCTGCAGTGCTACCTTTGTTATTATATCAAGTGTGCATATTTGCGATCCTGTGTTGAACTTTCTGTTCTGTCTCACTGCCTGGTTTTCCATTCCTGTGCTAACACCACACTGCTGCCTTAATTCTTGTAGCTTTATAATAATTCTTTTATCTCCTGAAGAATAAACCTTTTGTCTCTTTTTCCCAGAGTTTCTTTCTTTCTTTCTTTTGTGACAAAGCCTTAAGCCATTGCCCTGGGTAGAGTGCTGTGGATCAGAGCTCACAGCAACCTCCAACTCCTGGGCTCAAGCAGTTCTCCTCCTCTGCCTCCCAAGTAGCTGGGACCACAGGCACCTGCCACAACACCCACCCAGCCATGTTTTGGTTGCAGCTGTCAATGTTGTTTGGTGGGTCTGGGCTGGATTCGAACCCACCAGCTCAGGTGTATGTGGCTGGCGCCTTAGCCGCTTGAGCCACAGGCGCCGAGCCTTTCCCAGAGTTTCTTGCTCTTTGTATTTCCATATAAATTTTAGAGTCAGCCTGTCATTTTCTACAGAAGTTTGAAATATTAATTGAGGTTGTATGACATTGGTATCATTTTTTTAAAAAATCTTACTTTCTAACTCTTCATCATAGGTATGTATGAATAACAAATTGTGTTGGGGAGACTTTCTGCATATACAGTCATACAGTCTACAAATAATGATATTTTGTTTTTATTTTTTTCCAATGTTTGTACTGTTGATTTCCTTCTTTTGTTGAGTATGCTGGCCCACGTCTCTAGTATTAACACAATATTGAATAGAAGCATTCCTGGGGGTGTCTTTGTCTTATTCCTGATCTCACAGGGAACACTTTCAACATTTTACCATTAATAAGATAATTGCCATAGGATTTTGTAGGTACTTTAAAAGAAGATGAAGAAATACCCAAAAGCTTTGATAGGCTTACCTGGGCTTTCCCTTCTCAGAAGATCCTAAATATTGATATTGGTCCCCCATATAGCTGTTTGAGGCTGACTCTCAGAAGCTCTGCTTAGCAGTAGAGTTGGAAGGAATTATCTGTTCCACTAAGATGGGAAGCCTACTATTCTATTTTTGTGTGCACTTGCCAAGCTGTATCTTTAACTGAAAACTCTTCCATTGATACGAATCTTCATCACATCTTTAGAACTGACTCAAAACCTTATAGAGTTTTAAACCTGAGAAGCTGAAGAACAAGCTTCTAGTATTGTTTATTTTTAGTAATTGTTAACTTGCAATTAATTCAGTCCTGCTTTTGGATTACTTGGGAGCATTTTGAACAAAGAAAGCACACTAATTTAATGTTTCTAAATGGTTTTCTAAAAACAGATTCAAAAGAACATCAACGGGTCTGCTGATGTCTTACCTGATATGTTACCTGATCTGCCTGTATCTTTGGTCCTGTCATCCTTGATTGTAGTTGATATCGTTGAAAAACTCAGGATATATCCTCTTAGAGGGAGTCAAAAGAGTAAGTATTCTTTCAAATATGAATGTTTTTTAAAAGATTGTTATATCTCTCACCTTCCTGACACTCTGTTTTCTGATGACACATTTAATGATATCTTAGAGCAAACCCTTCTGATAGGGTTATATTTAACCCTTCCCTTGAACATAATTATTTTCATGTTTACCTTGACTGTGAGGTAGTCATTCTTACTTATATTTTGTAGTACTATTAAGTTAATCAAGTTACCAAGTATTTAATACCAAAAACCTTCATTTTCACTTCAGCAAGATAATTATCTAAGAGAATTGTTAGAGAATTTATGTTTTTCTAGGAACTTTCTCAAAACTTTATGTGTAGATGGATTATGGAAGAGTTTAGTATGGATGCCTTTGCTGCAGGTATCAATACGATTACAGCAGTTATGTCCTAGTGAATTATATGTTTTTAACTGTAGATTATAAAATAGTCAAAGACCTCACTAATAACACCAAGATATGCCACATTCCTCCAAAGTGATCAGTTAAAGCTAAATACAGTTTGACCTTGAAAAAAAGCATCCTGTTCATGGAATATTTTGTTTGTTTGGTCATAAATTCCTTCAAATTTCCTTCAATTTCATGAGATAATGTCCGTGTTTAATTTGCAGTATTTGCATGCTAGTTATTAGATGGCTAGATTTTGTCGTGTAGTGCCCATTTCAAACAGGCAGGTCTTGTAAGTTTGCTCCTGATGGGACCAGTGTGCTAATACTTCCAAGTGACAAGGGTAACCCCTTGAGTCAGTGAATATGGGCCATGTCTCACCACCCATCCATTTTTTCTGCTCTGATGGAAAGCAAAACTGAGCTGGAGGCCACCAGGAAATCTGAGGCTCTGCATACTCTGCATTTTGTACTTTGTCCTTGAGTGGGAAATGATGGACATGTTATGTTTAACAAAACACAGGGGACAGCTGGAGCCATCTGGTGAGGAATAGACCCTCCCAAGTAACATCTGCCCTCCAGAGCCAAGCATATACATCTTAAACTGAGGAGATTTGGGAATCTGCAAACCTTTTGCTGTATCTGTGGATTCCTGAAGGACACAAGTCTGTTTTTAAATTGGACTTTTTTTTGAGATGGGGTCTTACTGTGTTGCCCAGTCTGGTCTTGAACTTCTGGGCATAAGCCGTTCTCCTGCCCCAGCCTCCTGGAGTAGCTGGGATTGATTTCAGGCCTGTGCCCCTGCACCCAGCTTCAATTGGCTTATTTTGATGATTCTGTTTTCCATAGTAATGTAAATTTTCTGTCCAAGTTAAGTTTCTTTTATAAGAGAATCACACATGTATGTTTTGGGGAATAAGTTGGTGGCATTTTATTTTTGTTAGTGGTGAGTTGGATTTTTAACGGAGAATTGCCCTTGTATCCCGAAGTGGTGATGATGACTCTGAGAACTGAAAGAAAAGGGCACCCGAAAACGAAGTGGGTCCTGGGAGAAGACTCCAGAACATTTTGTACAAAGCTGCTTCTTAACTTCAAGAGCCTCTCTCTTGAGCTCTTCTCTGCCCATATTCAGAAAGGTTAATGTCTGGTTTGTATAGATTTGCCATTTCTTTTTATTTATTTACTTATTTTTGAGACAGACTCTTATTTTGTCACTCTGGGTAGAGTGTCGTGGCATCATAGCTCATAGCAACCTCAAACTCTTGGCCTCAAGTGATGTCCTGCCTCAGCCTCCTGAGGAGCTGGGACTGTAGGTCCCTTCCACAATGCCAGGTAGCTTTTTTTTTCTTTTTTTTTTTTTGAGATGGGATGTCACTCTTGCTCAGGCTAGTCGTGAACTCCTAAGCTCAAGCAATCCACCCACCTCGGCATCCCAGAGTGTTAGTATTATGGGTGTGAGCCGCCGGGCCTAGCAGTTTTACCATACACTTTAAGAAAACTAGTATGCATTCAAAATGCCTTTGTAAATATAAATAATGCACGCATTTAATTTTATGCAAAATTTGAAATCAAACAATCTCTTATCCTCCTTCAAACATCTATATTAATAAAATAAATTATGTGAATTTTGTTTCCATGGGGTATTCTCATTTATTCCCTGGAACATAAATTAATACCTAATCACTTTAATATAATTCTTAATACATAAATCTGTACTCTAAGCAAGTGTATGCTATATATATGGCTTCATTACATGGGGTACTTCAGAATCAAAGAAATAGGGTCACAGTGGATGATGAACAAGGTGTAGAATAATTTGGCTCCCTGAAGGAAATATGGGGAACATGACTATGTTCTGTGCTCCATCCACATAGTCTGAAATGCAGGCATGTCTTTTGGCTTGTGGCAGTTTTGTCTTTATAATAGATAGAACCAAGGTAATCTATAATTTCTGGATTTACAGACACTCTTGCATCACCCCATGTATCTGAATCCCAAGCTACAAAACTGATCTTGCTGCAGCTTTTCCAAATTTTAAAATAGAAATCTACCTATGAAATATACTTCTGCCTAAAGCAGTCTTCACTGGACCAAGGAATCCTTTCCACTAGCTTTTTGTTACCATTGGAAATACTTCAGTATCAAGTGATGACCATGTAACAACTTCTACGTGTCTCGTGTGTCACGTATGTTGAAGCTCACATGGGAATATTTTGCTGATTCATACATGTCTGAGGCATGACAGATGTACATGGTTCCTAAGATTGTCAACCCCCTCTCCCCTGAACAAATAATAAACCTACAAAGGATAGCTCACATGTCCCCTGCTGTTTCTAGAGTGGGGGTACAAATGACAGCACCTTAACATTTCCAGCTGAGTTAGCTGAGTCTTGACTTGTTGATGACAGGCCATTTATTGCCTCTTCCCCTCCCTTCTTCTTTCTGCTCTGGTTTTAAAACTGGACCCAGTGTCGGTTTCCTATGCCCTTATTTGTTGGTCCAGACCATTAAATACCTCACAGCTTCTGCTGCACTCTCTGGTTCTCATTCTCACACCCAACCCCCTGCAGCATGCTAGTACCCATCACTCCTGCAAGGCTCTGCTCCAAGCACTTCCCCTGTCACTGGCCTCTGGGATCCTGGCTGATGTGCTGCTGGTGCTGTAGACTGATGACCTTTCTTCTGCCAGTGGATATTGGCTTCCTTCCACTGAGTTCTACTTTTCTCAAGAGGTTTCAAACGGAGTAACTGGAATAGCTATTTTTTTAAAATTTCTAGAATGAATATGTCCAATGGATTGGCTGGGCTTCAATGATTTCAGGTGGCAGCCTTTCTACTCTCCTGGAAACCATCAGTTTTTCTATCTTTACACCAGGTGGCTGAGCCTGGCAGCTTTGTTCTATGGGGTCTTGTCCTTTCTCCTTCCATGCAATGTACCTATGTGAACCCCAATCACAATCATCATTAGATTGCCCTCCCAGCCACCACTGAGATTCTTTAACCTCCTTATATACCAGTGGATGTAAAGAGACACATGAGGGCGGCCATAGTTAGGGAGGAAGTATTCAGCCCCACCTTCACAACTCCTTTGAATAGTATTTGTAGCTCAGCGTAGACACCGTGTTACAAAGTGGTATATAAAACTGCATTATAGTTAAAGCATTACCAGGCCATCGGGGAAACCCTGGTTTGATCTGAGGTGTTGTAGGTCAGAAAAGACTAAATGGAGAACGTGGGTGGCAGGTTCTGCGGGAGTCTGCAGACAGACTTGGTGAAGAAAGCTTTTTACGAAGAAGAAAGATTGGGCTTCCGGAAACACAAGTGTGCTTTTTGTGAATGGGTGTGTATGGGAAATAAAAATAACTTTGCTTGGATTTCACACCCTGAATCAACAAACTGGCTGGAAAGCAAGTTGCCTTCTTAAAACCAGCTACTGCTTATTTATTGAGTAGTCCTTCTAAACACCAGCAAAGCTACTCTAAGAGCTACTGTAAAAATTAGCATGTATGCATGTGTGTGAGTTGGGAAGAGGGGAAACTAAACTGGGGGAGGGGTCTCTGGACGCTCTAATTTGTACTTCAACCAGATTTACACAATTTTTGTTTGTTTAAGAGTTGGCGTTTTATGTGATATTTCATTTGGGAACAAAAATGTTATTCTGCTAGATGTTTGAAAGTCATTCATCCAGGACACCCTTTAGAGGGGCAGACTGAACCACTCTCATAACTGAGATCACAACTCTCCATTTCTGCAGGCCTAGGAATCATGATTCTGCACCTCCTAGAGCAGTGGTTTTTGATCTTTTTAAAAACTCATGGTACACTTGAACCTATAGTTACACTTCTGTGACATGCTTAAATTATGTTGATCAAAAAAAAAAAAGAACATACTTACTGTGAGAAAAGAATATACTTACTGTGCTTTGAATGTCTTTCAAAACTAATTTAATTAATAATATTTAAAAATTTTTGCAGCACACTGGTTGACAATCACTGACCTAGAGGCAAAGTGAGCCCCTATCTTAGATCTTATATGTGGCTGCTCCTGCTCCGGGCAGTTTCAGCTTATAAGGAGCTCAGGCCAATCCTGATGGGTAGACAAGGCCCAATACCTTCAACAAACAGATAACTAGTTTTGACATGCTGTTTTGAATTTTTTAATTCTCATGTTTTGTTTTCGCAAAAGAATACGTACTCACTTTAAAAGATTATAAAATAGAGGTAAATGAAGAGAACAAAAAGGGAAATCAGCTTTAAATAAGCTTACGAACTGGACATTTAACTGATTGCATCTTTACATTCATCAGTTGAGAAAACCTATTTTGTAAGTTTTTTTTTCCTTAATGCAGGGTAGATATCATTGTTGTTATTACGTCTTCTACTGCACCCTTTTTATCCGTCCAATAATATTCCATTATGTTAATGAACTGCGATGTATCTAGCTAATCCCCTGTTGTTGGACAGCTAGATTTGTTCTAGTTTTTAATTATTACAAACACTGAGGTTCCCACTCTTGCTCAGAAGTACAAAGGGTTTAGAAGTAAAGGACAGCTCAAAAGATAAGGCAATGTGTCTTTGTGCTGGGGAAGGGGGATGAAGAA